CCAAAATGCTTAAAAATAATAGATATTTCATTTAGTTCTATATAGGGTTGAAAATGCGCGTTTTCTGCATATAAAAGGTGCCAAGAACTGAAGATCATTTTGCATACGCTAAATACGCTAAATACAAGATATGAAATCTTGGCCTTTCCCATTCGGCCACACACTGGTTTCTATGTTTAGTATTCCGTATATAGGAAGAACTACGGGGTAGATTACTTAGAATTCAGCCCAGCCCAGGTGAATTTCGGTCGCATAAAAGTTATAGAACCGCCCCGTATAGGACGTTGTATTACCCTGTTCTCGAATTGTTACTATACACCCTGCATAGATCTATCTACCAGATCACGTCCCTGATTTTAGTAGTGAATACGTACCTCAACCAGGATTCCTGAATAGGCGGGTGGTAGATACTCTATCTCCTTGGGCAGATGTCCTATACCCGGACCTGATTAGCCCCCTATGTATATGTCTGTGCAGAGGGCCGGAAAATTACTCAAGGTATTCGGACTACTGAGGATATTTAAGCAGTTCAAACAATTTAAGCAATCTACTACAGAGTACGGAGCACTCCGAGAGTAGACTCAATAGAAGTAGTATTTTCTGCGAAATTTCATTTTCACCGTTTTGTACAGTAGTAGGTTTTTTTTTTTTTTTTTTTTCTTACAGGGATCGGGATCTGAATTCTGGGGCGATTTTCACAGGACCCAAACATCAACGCATATACGGAGGCGTGTACGCCCCCGTACTCCGGCGAGAACTACGGAGTATTCTGTACACTATTACTACTAGCTCTGGTCGGTTATATGATGTTGTGGATCTGTGAAATTAACTTGGAATTCAGTATTAATCTACTAGTACATGCCTGGAGTAGTATCAAATAAATCCACTTTACTGTTTAAACCTTACGGCCTTACAGAACCCCATATCCATTAAAAGAAAGAAAGAAAGAAAGAAAGAAAGAAAGAAAGGAAGGAAGAGACAAAGAGACAAAGAAAAGTAAAACGGCGGTGATGCATTGTAAATCCTTAGGGCTGGTGGGCCGTGGTTGCGCTATCTAATAGCCGCTTATATCCATGTCAATTATCTGCCATTCGGTGATGCCGCCATCCCAAACCAGCTATTAGCCGGCGTGTCTAAATTGAAGGGTTTCTCATTTTTCTTTACAGAATTTGCTAGTCATAATACTCATATATTTCGCGTCTAAATATAGGTATTGCAAATCGGTTGAATTATTTAATAGATATATCATCGGCGTGAGAACTAGGGTTGAACTTGTCCCTTGTCATGCCCAGCTGCTTAAAGCTTAATTAAAACTGTTGATAGAATACAAGCCTCACATATGTAGCAGTTGAAACAGAATCTGTCGGAGTACCAGGCTCCGAGTAGCAAGGGTGCATGCAAGTGAGATCCATCACACATTAGCGCAACCACTGTGATCACAGCCTCAGCTGTATATCCTAGTACTTCTGTTAATAATAGCACCCCTCCCGGGCTGTGTACAGGTTAAAGTCAAAAGTCCTCGTCAGCTCGGTAGCATGCTGCAGTGTCTTTGGCCAATGATCGTTTGGCTAGCGTTTTGTTGCCTGATTTTGGTTACATCGCATGGTTCTCTGTAAACATATGATGGGTTGCATTGATCTCGACATACGCCAAATCTGTATAACTCCAGAATGATAGCTTTCCACCTGCATTAATGTCGATATCATCCTTCTATGTGGAGAATAACAAGCCTGTTGGACTGTGAACGCATTGATTGGCAATTGAAATCATAAGAGATGTTAAAATCCATACGGAAAGGAATTTGACAGCCGGCGGAAGGTCATGGGTGGCGTCGCATTGCCATGGAAAGGTCAATGGCAAATCACAGGCTGTGAAGTGTTAACTTGGAAAGGTGACATAAATCAAAGTTCTACTAGTTCAAGTGTGAGCAACTATTCGTGCTATCTAGCTGGGTGCAGTACATCTTGCTGCCTACTGGGGCTTTCTTCCCACCACGCTCCACCGAGTAAAGGCCCAACAGGAACCATTACGGGTCTCGCTCTCAACACGGGGCAAGAGCCCCTTCACCAATTCCATCACTTTTTCGTTCTTAGACTTGCGTGCCAAGATTTCGCTAATTAGCAAGTTGCATTCATGCATCGCAAGAGCAAGGTGTGGGGGTGCATTCCGGGACTCGGACTTGACATTGTCAAACCCAGCAGCCTCAAAGCGCGAGCGCGACGAGAGGCTGGGAACATAGGTCGGACTCAGCCTTTTGTCCTGCCCCTGAGAGAGTTTGAAAAGTGTCTCTAATGCCTCAGACTGGTTATTCGGGTTGGTCTTCAAAATGCGGAACGAGCTCATATCCACTTCCACCCATTGCAAGTACCCACCGGGTTCTATATATTTGCGTATTAGTTTCTGAGTAGAGTTCTGTATCGGCGGGTAAAATAGGAAAGAGTAATATACTTAGCAGCTTGAGTAATCTGGTAAGAACATTTTCCAACTCCTCTTCTATCAGGACCAAAGTAAAATGTCTAATATGGACTATATCATAGACACCAATCAGATCCTCCGGAGGATCTGTTTTGACATCCCACACGAGAGTGCGGATGTTGGAAGGGAGCCACTCAGCTGGTGGGGTTGCCTCAAAGGAGATGTCTAGTGCATCTAGTTGCACTGTCTGCGGTAACCGCTTAGCTAAATCAGTGAGCCAGATACTAGTTCGATAATAAGATTAGTATAGCAACATTTCTATGGCCATCCTACAGAGATATAGAAATGACTGACCCTGTTCCTGTCCCTACGTCTGCGACTTTCAGATTGGGATCAGCTGTAGGGATATCCGGATGGGTGTGATATCCGAAGAGCTCCACGCAGAGGTAATGGTGGAGGTTGATTTTGAATCACCAGGTAGTGGTGTGTATCTCATTAGTCGTGGGCAATTTAGGTATAGTATGGATTATTTTGCTTCTGTTGACTAACCGATTGTTATCGAGGTAGTCATGCGTAAGGACATATTCCGGTTTCAGCGCCATCTCCAAGGATTGTAACTGGGTTCTAAAACTTCAAAGCTTTTCTCTTTGAGGGAAATTTTCTTTCTCTGTTTCTTTCGTTAGCAGCATAATGAAGATAATCTGGGAGATCTTTATAGTTCTAGGAACAAGAGAGATGGGGTGCCTGTCTTTGGAGGGACACATTAGGGTCTCTCAACCCCGGTCCGCAATGTCTAACCGTACGACGACCAAAAAGCGACTCCGTCATATAACGAGTTGCACTAACACCAAGGAAATATAGGGTTCTTTTGCGGCCAGGTTTCTTTGTTAAGCAATATAAAGTGGGTCATCGGGAATCAGGGCGTCATATGGTTGGTCCGACCAGAACATGAGCGCTGCCAGCGTTGCTCGAAAATCTGACGTGGGTTGCTCCACGGCGCTAGTGTCTTACATGGACAAAGGAAAAAGCTCTTTAGGTCCGAAGCTACGGCGTTGGTGGTACTATAGGATGCTGTCGGCTAAGTAGGATATAGTAAAGATTCACGCCTCGTACTATTTATTCTGTCTTGACCACACACATGATCGGCATCAGCCTAGGGCACGGCCGGTAATCTACGTCCTATTTCCATGGACTCAGATACCTTGTGAAACCTGAAGTGCTGCATTTTCTATGCTACATATGGTATTACCCACGACCCCTCGACTAATGTTAGCCTGAGGGGGCCAAAAGCAACGAGATCTGCCTGTCACACCGTGAAGGGTCAAGCACGAAACTCATCTGCATATTCCCTGGCTAGTCTCAGGCTGACCCCGCAAACCTATCTATAAACGGAAACTAAATCCTAGGGGAAATATAGACTTACCATCCTAGATCATGGCAGGTTGCAAGGCCTACAGAGACCAAAACTGCCCCCATTTTGCGCTCGAGCATAAGGCGGAAAGCTGCACCGGTTACTGTGACCTATCCTTGTTAGATGCTACCCTCATCCGCTCACTGGACCCCAAGTAAACATTCTTGGCAAGCATGAAACCACTAGATACAGGTAATATATGGCTCTGGTTATTCCGCTAATTGCCTGTTTACCACAAGCGAAGAGCTCTATTCCCACTTGCCCAACTCTCGTGCTCGCCAGGTTATAAACCATTTTGCTGAAAATGAAGAGCCGAGATACTAATAGGGTCTCATCAAGCCCGTCCTATGAGAGCAAGCAGGCTGTCCTTTATTTCATAACAATTATATTTATGATCCTAGAGACGATGGCGGTCATTCTACGCTTTGTTTCCCGCCGTATCGGGAAGGTCTCATGGAGCCGTGATGATACCTTAATCATCATTAGTTGGGTAGTGACCATTGCATTCAATGTAACTATTTTGGGTAAGTCGAACTGCACGCAGAGCTATCATAGCTTTGGCATTGAAGACTAATCAGCGTTCGGTCATTCGCAGTTGATGTCCGCTATGGAGGTACTGGCCTCCATATGGCACGAATGATGGAAACTGACCCGGCAATGTCAGTCTATTTCTCCAAGGATATTATCCCTGTGGAGCCGACCTGGCTCTTTTCTGTCGTATTCTAAAAATTAACCGTGTTGAGTCTTTATCTATTACTCTTTGCGATCAAGCGCGTCACGCGATACATTTGCTACGCGACGGGAGCTATTATCATCTTAAATTGTCTGGGGGGATTTCTCGCTTGCTTTGGCGTATGCGTCCCATTGAGGGCACTCTGGGACACTACTGTTTCAGGGCGCTGCTTCAATTTGAACTTGTTGCTTCGATGGATCCGACTCCCGCATATATTGTCGGACGTCATCATGTTGATCCTTCCCATTTCGCATGTCGTAAAGCTCCAAACCACTCGACGGATCAAATTAGGACTTCTGATTACTTTTTTGCTTGATAGTGTGTAAGTTTGTGCTTTCACACAACATGCCTTTCATCCAAAGACTGTACTGACGCGTCGTGTGTAGTGGATTTGTCTTTGGGTTGGTATGCTGGGTACAATACTTCATTACTGATGCGATAGCCGATAAGACATGGTCAGCAGTTGACATCTTCATTTGGAGCGTCATGGAAGCTGGCATGTATCTCATTGCTGCCTGTCTACTGGCATATCAGCCCCTAGTGAGCCTTATTTGGAGACAAATAAAGAAACGCCTCGTGGGTATGTCCATAACCAAATCCGAGCAAGCCAGCACTAGAGACTACCAGACGGGATCGAGAAGCCATGATCAGATACCCGATGGTCGGGCCTTCGTGCCCTTAAGCGATAAAGAGGAGTATATAGGTTTGGTGACAGTGACCAAGGTGAAGCAAGGTCAACGTGATGAGGTTGTATGAACTAAAAGCTAGTAGTTGTTGAACAGGAAATACTACTTTGGCACCTTCTAGATACTCATGAACGAGGGCTTTTCAATTCGACCCGGGCCTTAGTATTGGACATCATAAATATTACTTCAGCAGCGTAAAAGAGACTTATCTATAACGCATAGATTAAATTAAGCTCAGTAGTTTATGTTAGGTGCCTGATTACCTAGGTAACCACCTACAGAGACCTATAACAGCCACTCTGCAACAACGGGATCTTATCAATTTCTGCTGGCAGAACTAATAACTATAAACTTGCTTAGTTTTACTATCAATTTAACTACTAGTCCTGTGTACTATTTAGAGATTAGAGTTGATCGGCCACCTGAATGTTTTCTGTGTTTGATGATAATGTGTAAGGGTGCGGGGTTAGGCTGCAATGCGTCAGACCTTGGCTTTTATCACTACATTAAAGGTTTATCCCCTAAGGGAATACTTGTAAGTAATATCTACCCCCTGCGAAGCATTAGGCGCTTACCCCTTTAGAAAAAATGACAATTATGTAGTAAATTTTAGACCAAAGTACAGTCGCATTTATCCAAAGTAATCTCGCAGGGCCATTGTTAGTGACCTTGACTACGGTACATTTATACCAAAGTAACCTAACTGGTAATCGAGCGGATCACAAGTAAAGACAGTGATTATAAGATATATCTTTTGAATACACAGTATCATGGCTTGGTACAAGTTCTGTTGTTGTGTTACTATATGAGGATTCGCGGGGAGTTTTCGGATTCCCTGATCAACTCCCAAGTATGATATTATTTCGGTCACCAAATGGAAAAGAAACCAAAGAGTAACACCCCAATATAAAGGAATACCGGATAGGAAATTGCCAAACCAAAGTATAATAACAGATATGGGATATGGCGCATCAAGATCAGGCTTACCCCGAGGCATAATCTAACAACAATTCGTCGACATTCTCTCGAGAAATGACGACCATAACAATCTGCATAGGCCAGTTAGTTTTGCCCTTGGGCTATTAAATAAAGCGCGTTCTGGCCATATAATAGGAGTCTCAACCTCATTTCATGGAGGAATCCAGATGTACAGGAGGCCCGCCAGGCCATCTATTGGATGTTGTAGTGATTTGAGCTCCAGCTGACACCACTTTACACCTGCTCATTACCATACTCCTTATCAGATGGTCCACTGTTGCTATCAGTGTTCGCCGCACTAGTTGGATGGTGGGTCGACTGATCGCTTGGTAAGTGTGAAGGGTTTGGCCCATCAGCATGCCAGTTTATCACTTCGTGCCACGGGCCGGGGCCCGCAGCAGCCTCCCACTGATTGAAATCCTGGCCCGGATTAACAGTTTCGTAATGAAACATGCTGAGAAAGCCATAGAATCCACACGCAAGGAGGGACCCCAGCAATGGTCCTACCCAGTAGATCCAGTGATATCCTGGAAAGCTGCGGTTGATCACGTCAGGGCCAAGGGCACGGGCCGGGTTGAGGGCACAGCCGGTATAGTAGGTTCCTAAGTTCATAAATCAGCTTTCGTGCATGCATATATACACAATTAGGCGTACTGACCGACTAGTTGGTTCACAAACAGGACCAGGCCAATTCCAACAGGTGCAAGAAATGTTGACTTTTGCTTAACTACAGCCAACATGATCACGACAAATACCAGGTTTGCCGTCAGGAACATTTCAATGAACAGGCCCTGGGAGATTGAAGTGCCACCGCCCAGCCTAGTCTGAACGGTTAGAGGTCCTGGGAACAGACAACTGACCACGCCCGCTGATGCAATCCCCGCCACGATTTGAGAAGCAAAGACTAGGACGCCGCGAACAGGATGCATGCCCCCACAGAGACAGAGAGCTAAAGTGACCTGAGGATTATTAGTACTAGTATCAAGGTCATGTTACTGACTAGGGATCTGGTCTGTATATCAACGCTAGCCTAGCGTAAGAACATACCACTGGATTGAATAAACCACCGGTCACACGGTAAAACGTCCAAACATTGACAAGGAGAGAGAATCCGAAGGTCAGCGAGAGATATAGGAGGTTCGAGGTATTTGGTGGCGCTCCTTCAGCCGGCTTGGGGGTGTTGGAGACCTGGCCACCAGCAAATGCGAAGAAAAGGAACATGAAGGTTCCGACAAACTCTCCCACAACGGCAACAAAATTATTCTGGAATGTATGGGGTACGTGTAACATAGGCAACTGCCCCTTCTCTGAACGGAAGATGGGGGCCGTGTTCCCTCCGGGCTGGCCCCGTATGCGACCTGCTAAGCCTTGCACTATCGGGGTGGTCGACATGCTCGATGCATTTCTGGAGGCATTGTGATTGCCCCCATTACCCCGTCTCTGATGTGTCCAGCTCGGCATACTTCTGCGGTCAAAATAATAAGTCTGTAGGGAAAGGAGACCTCAGCTCGAGAAACAATTTGTTGACTGCAACAACCAAAAAGGGCCCATTGTTGGCCATTATTTATAGTCAACGCTCTTGTCGGATGCCATGGCTCGTGGGTATAGATGATATCATGAGGCTATATGCGGATTGCGTTTTAAAGTGGGTGTCACAGCATAAAACATAGGATGTCATAAGGTGAACTTGTGGCGAGGTGACGACTTGAACACCTCGGAGAACCAATCGATGGCCAAATAAGGAGGAAGCTGAGTATGAAGACTAATGCACACAGGTAGTGATGGCAATTTTCTTTCACAAATCTAGAACCTGCGTCGAACTTATCACTCGTACAAGGAATTCGAGTACCGTATGATCCATATGATATCAGCACTCTGCTTGATAAAGACCAGAGGTCGAAGTTCCTTAAGATTAGGTACCAGATAGGGTTGTACTATTCTATGAGTAAATCTCTAGGTGATGCTTTCGGAAAGACTAATTGACCAAACATATCAAGTTCAGTCTGGACCCACGCCAGGGGTGGGGCCGAGCTTTCCACGGTGTACTAATAACCGCTTAACCAAGGTTCTCACCGACCTCTCCATAGCGAAAAATTCAACATCTAATTGCATCATGTAGTGGGCAGATGTTGTGGGAAAGACCTTCAGAACCCTTATTTACCTTAGCCTGCAGACGTGAGGCCAGGCATGTTGACAAATATGTAACAAGACCTGCCTAGAACATTCATATCTAAAGGCCAGTCTGGTTATATATAACAGAGCTACAGGATCGCCTCATAGGGAGGATAGATGTCCGTGGTAAATAGTTTCGCACAAACAAAATAGGCATATTGGGAGTAACTGCAAACTACGTAGAGTAACATATATACTCATTTCAAGCATCCATACCAAGCATTCCACTCTACCTTGCTCACAGGAAGGACTCAAACCTGTAAGGAGCTCATGTCAGAAGTAATTTGCTCGTTAGGATCATTTCGGTGTCTGTTAGAGATCGGTGGTATGACATGCAGAGAAGACGCAGGAGAGGCCTCGCGAATACGTGGGGAAGGATGCTTGAACTTCCTGCTTCTTAGTTGGTCCGGGGTAGCAAGTCGCTTAGTTTCGCACGCCTCGTTTCGCATGGGAATTTCTCTGCCGGCGCCTTTCACCGGCGACGGGGGCACAAAATAGCGTGATGCGGTATTTGTGTGTGACTGATCGATTCCTTACTACCTTCTTTCCACTCAATCAAGGCACAGCAAAGCTCTTCAAGGAAATCGCGAGGAGGATTGTCACGGCCCAAAAATCGTGACTTAGTCGCATTCCGCACCCATGTATCTACCACAAGCAGACGTAGTGGGGACTTGGGCAGGGTATGAGAGTAGACATAATGGATTGTGTGGTCATCAAAAACTGTGCCACTTTTGTCATCAATCCGAGCTTTGCAGAGGGAGATAAGGTTGTTCTGCAGTTCCACCATTTCAAATTTCCCAGCAAGTATCCAGAGTTTAATTAAGAAGAGCACACTTTGAGGAGAAGGCTTCACAGCGATTTGACCACGATACATCCAACCAATGAGTACGGAGAATACATCAGAATTATCGTCCGGGAAACGAATAGGAAGCTCTGTGATAGGCTTCAGAGCTCTGTCTGCATAAACATCATCAAAGTGGGGCGAGTGGTCGCACAACAGTTCTAAGTGCACATCAAATGGGGTATCGCCAGTCCCCACACTGATACGTGCTATCCCAGCAGTCAGAGCACTTCTCATTGGTTAGTATGTAAATTTAAAGACAATCAAGCATCTACCTACTTCTTTGTGAGTGACTTGCTCATTTTCAAGCTACTTTATCGGATGATTCGGGAGGAGGGGGGGGGGGTTGGAAAGATGCAAGAGAGCTGAACAATTGATCTTGCGTCACGAAACCACGAAACCTCCTGTAAGATAGTTCGTGTGGTTGAATTGTGAGCATATAAAGTTCTGTTCCGTGCACTCAAAGCTTAGCCCCCCACCCGGAGAGACAGCTGGTGACCATACTGAGATACGGTCGATCCTTTTTGACCTTACCAGATTAACCAAGACGGATAGGGCTACAATACCGTACCTGTCTTAGTTCATTGTCTATGAACCTGATCATTTTACTGGTCTTGTTAGCTGCACCTCCTCCCTCGCGGACACTCTTGCTGGGACACCTACATGGTGTAGGCTAGTAACATATGATGATCCCAACACTAGGCTCCTCCGTGGCATCTCCATTGTATGCCCCTACCCCTGGTGACTTCGATCGTGAACGTACACCATCCGTATTTTGCGCATCACCTAAATATGTACTTGATAAACCTTATCCTCCCTTGCATCAATCCCAGTAAGATAACACAGGATGCTGAAAAATGTTATACATCGAAAAATACGTCGCAACTAATAAGTGAGATCAGAACCCAGGGGAACATCAAAATCAACACCCAATCTAAACACGTCATTTTAACGCGTCAATCGATCGAGAAAGGCCCCCTGAGGCCTCAGGAACCGCT